ATTTTCTCCAAATTTGTTCTTTAAAAATCTGTCAGCTCTAATCAAATACATTGTACATTGATATTCCGTTGTTGATACTCTTGTACTAAATTCCAGTCAGTGTTATTTGTTCTAATCCATCCATTTTTCATTAATATTCTACCAGCCTTACACATGCATTGCACAAAGGCAGAGAAAAAGGATAAGGATAAGACTTTCTGTACTTCTGATTCAATACGACCGTAAGTGCAAATATTATGGCTGAGAAGACACTTGCAGATAAACTTCTGTTTCAATTACAACACCCCAGTACTAGCGTAGTGAATGAAATGTCCATTTAAGTTTTTGACCCAGCAGATCTGTGAAAAAGAAAGTGCCCAGTTCAGTAGGCCATTAACTAACCCATGAAATTATGTTCATTATACAAAGTGTTATTTCTTCTGGAAAATGAGCAGGTCACTAACCTACCACCTTATGGCATACTTATCAGACACACCTAGGAATTAGAATGGATATTTTGTGTTCACATTTGATTAGTGTTTGAGGCCCTCTTTCTAGAGAAACACTTCCCACAGGAATGCACATGCCAAATTCCTACCACAGCTTGAGCTATTATACAAAGACCTGAGAATGCTCATTCCACTTACCTCTATCTTAGGTTTATTGACAGTGCTGAAGACAACAGTCTTTTCCCTAGACTACTAAATGACTTTCAGAAATAAAAAAAAACCCTAACATTTTGAAGTTGAAATCTAGCATTACATTGCCCACAATGAAGAACTGTTTAAATAAATAAACAGCCACAGCTTTGTGCCTGAGGTATTTCATAAAACCTCAAGCCTCTTTAGATGAATTGCAACAAAACAGCATTCATCATTAACAAAATGAAAAACAAAGTCTGTGGATCTTACTAAAGAGTTTGGGTACCTTGTGGTTGTAGTACAGAACAGAGAAAACACTGCACTCTAAAGCAGATCTAAAAGAAAATTCAACATAGAGGCAGAAGGTGCATTTGGATTACCTACTGTAGACTCCTAACTCAGGTGGCACCTAATTAATATGGATGTGATTTAGAACAGGAATTCACAAGTGTGCTTCACAGCCACTGGAAATCAAAGCAGTCAACTGCTGTTAACTACCTCCTCTGTGCTAAAGGTACATTCCTGATCTTCTAAGTGAGTTCATAAAAGATATTAGGTATAGGCCTGTAGTTTGAGGGATGCATTTGAATGGGCTTTGAAGTCTCTATCTTTTTTTAATCCTGCTCCTTAAAAACACATCCTGGCTAATCCTCCTTCTTTTTTGGAATAATGATCACCCAAAACTCAGTGCCCACTCTGGTACGACCAGACTGAAAACAGCTAGATTTCATGTGCTGCTGTAAGAGCATTCCCTTCCACCTCAAACCTCATGTTAGCCACATCAAACTGGGGAAAAAAGCGTTCATTCCTATTCTATGAGTTATATTTTGGGATCACCATTTTGTTTGTTTGACACAGACAAACACTGTAACTTGAACTGGAGCTAAAGGGAGAATGAAAAAGGTGGTGCTATGTACAAATAAGAAAGTACTTTACTTCTATATACAGCATGAAATTCTACATGAATATATTCTCATAGCTTTTGAAAAAAAGGAAGAGTTCCTAGGACAGCTGTTAGAAAACCAGTCTTACAGTGTGAGCCTTAAAGAATAAAACATATCAAATTTACCAGAACAAAAATTGTAAAGGTACCTTGACTACTGTATATAAATTTTTAGTAGTCATAGGCATGATATAAGTGACAGTCTGTGGAAGAGGCCAGGTTTGCAGATCAAGGCAATAAGTCCATCAGGCCGAGTGGCACAGCCAGAATACGGCCACCGGTTTCTGTGCGCAGAGGCCTCTCAACAGGCCATTGCAAAGAGTTTTTCATAGACACTTGTTCAGAAAACAGACGCAAAAGGGAGAATTTTCAGTCTTGCTGACAAAGGCATAGCAAAAGGAAGACTGGCAGCTGAAATTAGACAAATTCAATCTTTCCATAACATTGCAATTTCCTAGCACTAAGGGTAATTAAATATTGGAATGGCTTACCAGGGGAGCTGGTGGACTCGCCATTGCTTGGAGCTTTAGGACGAGATTAGATATCATTGTAAAAGAGATGCTTTAATCCAGCTTCTGGAAGTTCTCAACATGCCCATAACACTTGCAGCTCTGCATTAAGACAATGACTATAATCAAATCTCATACTTTCAGCTGATCAACTGCAAGGGTTATAAAGAATTTCTTTTTCCTTTCACATAAAAACCAGACAGATACTTGGGTGTGGTTTACGTTCTGATCTGTCTCTGTAGTAGCAAAGATTGTCCACATTTACAGAAAACACAGGAGCAGCTGATGCAGTGGCCAGTGGTGATAGGGAAAGTACTTTTTCTTAGCCTGAAATTCACCAAGCAGTCATACCCAAATGGGAGCTCACACGAATTTGAAGTCATCCAGACGGATGCAAACCACCTCTGCCCTGGAACCTGTGTGATTAGGTCAGTGCAGAAACAGGTTTGATTTGTCTGCCCTGCTGAGGGCCTGGCAGTAGCACCCATGCAGCATTTCACTGACGCAGCTACAGAGCACTGGCCAAGGGTCAAATGAAAAACTATTGGATCACCATACCCTTAGAGGTATCATTAATGCATCTTGCTAGATTAGGTCAAAGGCTGTGCTTTTCCCAAGGTGAGATAAATAGAAATCTCAAATGAGTTTGTTTTGTGTTTGCTCAGTGAAACAAATCACCTGTTAACACACTTAGAATCATTTTGACATATCTAATTAAGTAATTGCTATTAAAGATGCATGAGTAACACCTTGATCTTCTCTGTCTCCTGAAAGTTAAGATACTTTAGCGTAACTAGAGTAATCATGTTAGCACACAGGTATCAGGACGAATTTAGTGTTGTGTTTTCCAACTTAAGTAGATACATAAGCATCCCTTTTGGTGTTTAGTTTAGCTACATCTGTAATTATACAATCTGCACTATTTTAGCAGACTACTGTAATGACTTAATTATTAAATGTAAGTGAAGCTGAAGGCAAGAACGAACATTCTGCTGCTTTTACACTTGTGTGAAAAGAGTATGTCTCGACTCTGTCAAATAAAGCATAAAATGAGAAATGGTTGTTCTAGTGATTTCTATGAGCTGCACAGCAGCATGTTCATACTGTGAGACTCCAAATATGAAAGTACACGTTTTCGGGCTTTTATGCTTATTGACTACCTATACAGTTCTCCTACATCCCTTTGACAGTTAGTTAAATTCAAAGATACTTCTGTCTCTGCTAAATAACAGGTCATTGGATGGATTTGTGCACAGTTACACCTGGAATGTAATGCAGGTATGTAATTGACCTGTCCTGCAATTTGGGATATTTTCCGTGCAGAATAAGGATGATTTCTCTTTGCCATAATTCTGAAGCATATATACTCTGTTGTCAGTACTGGTCATTATCATTATGTTAAGATTGTCATATTTCAAAGTAAGATGGGACACACCGTGACAGCACCATCTAGTAACACAAAATATTCATGCAAAACAAAAAGCAGACTCAACCTTTAAAAACGAGAGGGAAAAAAAAAAAAAGATGTACTGATACTGTTTGTCTCAATGTCTATTTTGGTGACACATGCATATATTTGACATCAGTCATAAAGGTCATATTTACAAGATGGTCCTATTAAGTATGGGTAGCCTTACTCAAACCAAACCAAAATACTCAGAATAAGGGTCTCCTCATCTGCAATGAAAATGGCAAAATCTGCATTTACAGTCTTCTGACTTCTCAAACAGACATCACTTGGTGTGCTGCTGTATCTGAGTGCAAATAACTCTGACAGACTCTGTACCCAGATCTGCTCCACACTGCACACAAATTTCATTATAATGAACTTCTAACCTTTTATTATCATTTGTTCTATTGTAATTCTTACAGCATACCTAGTGCCTACAGTAAAAGAATGCTTGGAAAACCTTGAATAAATCTACTGTCCCCTAATTTTTAAAGAATACTCTTTAAACAAAAACTGAAGGAGGAATATTATATTATGCAATAGACACATTAGAAGCCAATGACATAATAAATAGTAATATTGTTCTAATGATAAATATCATCACAAATTTGGACTAAATCTCTTTGGGATACAAAAATTATGCCTTAATTTTCACAACCTGTTCAACTGAAGGATTATTGAAGAAACTTTTGAGTATAGAAAGATATTTGCAGCAGAGAATTACCTTACTTCACAGTGCTCATTTATATTCCTTCTGTGCCAAAATCTCTACCCAAGTAACACAGAAGTCCACATGATCACTTAGTATCAAATTCTCTGCTCTTATATTTCTGCTAAAAAATTCCCAACTCAAAATGTTTGAATTGTAAAGTAATTATAGTTGTAAAATTCTAAAATTTTTATTTGACTGGATTGCTTTTAAAATTAAGCATAAAAAAAAGCATTTGTATAGTAGAATCCAGAGAATTAACATAATTATGTTCTCATCTGTTCTAGATTTTCTATTGAAAATTATGTTCTTACTATTAAAAACCTGTTTCCTACGCATTTCTAGTAATAAAACTGGAAACTCACTCTTATATTTATTGAATCTTTGCTTTCCTTAAACACCAACAGGTGGGTTTTTTTCTTCGTTACAGAATCACATGCAAGTTTGAATAACTTAAAATCCTTTCATTACGACTTGTTGGTTTGGAATACTGCTTCTTCTCCCCCTTGATTTGTTTAACATTAAATATACTGTAGTTAACATTTTAAGCAAATTTTCAATTCTATTCTTTAAACTGATGCATGTAATAGCTACTCATTCTTCATTTATCTGAAATCTAAAAAACTTTAATAGTACAATTTTGACATTTAAAAAAAAATGCTGTCAGAAGCACACCAAAATAATTTGTCACACCCCTCCCCCCCCCAAACTCAATAAACTCAGTATAGAACAAACAAATAACATAATCTAATCTAACTGTCCACTTTACCTGGAAATGCATGCCCTGTTAGAGAATCCAAATCTGAAATTAAAACAGTGAAAAGATAGTCTTTAACACTAATTTAATATTAGAAAGCACAAAAAATCAAAAGCCAAGCTGGCATCAAATATCACATTATCACCAACATCAAATTTTAATCATATATATAGAAAAGCAAAAATAAAACACTTAGAATTACATTATGAAGGTTTTCCTCTCCGTAGTCTTGTAAAAATGTAAAATAAGATCTAAAGATGAAAGCTTTGAACACTATGGGAAGCTAAATTATTTTATTGTTTAAGACAGACATATCACAATTAAATAGGAATTTTACAATACCTTTTAAATGAACCTCTGATTAAGAAACTCATATCTTAAGTATAAACATTTGTTCTGCCCTTGTACATAGAAACAATAATTAGAAATGTGCAGAATGCTTTTTAGATTGTACCCTTTTAAAAAGAAGACTTTCTTGATCATAACAAATAACAGACCTAATTTTGCCTGGTTTAGTGTTTACTCTTTCATTTTTCTTTTAAATCTGTATTTTTCATAAAAGGAAGAGAGCTAGAAGTATTCCTGCTGACACCGTAAAGCATAAATGAGGGCTTCACTGGTCAACTCCCATCTTAAGAGAGAGCAGGAAGGTGTATCAGTGATGGAGCATCAGAATGACCCCTCCCCAATGTGCATTGGGACTAGAATGCAGAATTTCATCTTTGAAGTGCTTTGCTTTTTGGAAATTTCATGTTCTTAACAGAGACTAATTTAGCAACTTTGAGGAGTTACACTCAGAGATTCACTTGTAAATATATAGCCAGAAGAGCAGCTGACTCTCATAAAATACAGTCACAATACCAGTTGACATTGCTGTTGCATTACCAAAGTATAAGGCTAATTCTCAGACATATATGGCCAAAACTCCCACCTTCTTAGATAGTGTTCTGTCACACAAGGCAGTGACGTGAGAACATTTGGAAAACAAGCCCTGTTGCTAGAAGCAGTCCACCAGTTCTCAATTAGCTCACCAGATTTGTGTGTGAAATCCTCAGACTGTCCTTCCTCCCATTATCTGACAAGTGGGATGGCAGTAGCTACACTATCTTGGAAATGCACAACTTTGTGGCTGACCAATCTACCCTAACATGTGTGTATACATGAGCTTTCTTGGCATTTTAAGGAATTGAATGTATTTATGAGCAGCACCTGGAAAAAAACTTTTAGTATTGTTTTTAAATTACTTCATCTTCAAAAAAAATTGTTTTCTGACTGCAACAGTCAACAGACGCAAGATTCTAGGTCAATGGTTTAGGTTACAGAAATCCTGAACTTGTAATACGGTAACTGATTCTAAAAAATATTGCGAAAGTATTTACCAATTAACTCCTGGAACTGCAGTAGGAACTGCTCCTACTGAAAGACAGGAGGAAAGTGTGTTTTGCTTTAATAATTTATAACTGTTTAAGTGAGATAAATTTCCCGAGGACTGAGAACATGCTTAGTTTTGCAAGTGAACACAGGAAAAAAACAACCTAAAATGTGATAAATGCACTAGAGAGAATTGCTTTCTGAAATCTAACTTGCTGAACACAATGTATTACCTAACAATTCCAGTATGTGGGGTCTCAAGGTTTAGCTACCAAACTTCATCATAATCTACAGTAGAAATTAGAAACAACCTGAGCATTTTTCCTTCCAGAGCATGAGAGGCAGAAGAATGTTGTCGCCCCCTAGAAGCCCGTAAAAAGCACACCAAAAACAGATTATGAATAAATGGAGTATCTAGCTAGGCAGTGACTGCTCCCTGAAAGCAGAGAGACTGGATGCAACCACCATGCAAATCGGAATCAACACAAGAAAACATCTAATACTTAAATAGCACAAACTGTTGTCACTGTGCACATCCTACCACAGCAGGAAGGTGTTTCAAAACATCGTTCTATGTCATTTTATTAATGAAAGTATCCTGATGCAAAACTCTAAGATACAAGAAAAAGAACAGAAGAGGAAAAAAATTCTCTTCTTCCTATAGCAGTAAAAAAATATCTACTTAGACATTGGGATTAAAAAAAACCAAAACCAACCAGAACAAACTGCACCAGAAAAGTGGGATTTGCATCTGAAAAATCCATGTACCTATTGTAACTTGCAGCAGAAATTACTATTAAAAATGCTATTCTGAAAGCAATGCAGATAAGTTAATGAAAATTAATTAGGCTCTTGTCCCAGCATAAAACAACACTACATGTAATACTTTGTGTTAAGCTGATGATATAAATTGTGGATGTGTTTATTTTCTTACAAGTCGATGTCCACTAAGTGAAAACAAGGTAGTTTGTCACCCGAGCACGTGTCCTGTGTCAATTGTTAAATAAAATCAGATCTACTTTGCTAGCTGAAACCAGAAGAGTTTATGGTATATTGAACCCACAAATCATGATCCACATGCCCCAATTCCATCATTACACTTCACAAATTGTGCTATGACCTGACACTGCATAGGCAGGCAATGTAAAGTTTCCCATATAAAGATAAAGTGTGCAACATTTTGCTGATAGACTTCAATACATGCAATTACTTCAGTTATAATGGAATGAAACCTTTGCTGTGACTGAAACAACTCTAGTATTCAGTCTCTGCCATAAGATTTCTTCTACTCTCCTATGGACTCCAAAGGCAGTAGAAAAATCATCATTTCCTGTTACTGTTAAGAAGATTTCTCAGTTTCTTTGACTGATTTTCAATTAAGTAAGCTTGAAGAGGTGGAATCCAATTTTCCTCCATTCCATTTATTTAGTGGATTGCTCTGATTTGTTACTATTAATTTTTGTTTTCACACATATGACTTTCTAAGCAAAGAGCAGGAATCTGAAATTAAAATGGAGTACCTAAAAGTGACACACATTTTCATCCCCTTGTTAGGGCAACATAGTTAGCGTGTCTACAGAAGCAGTTAGCAATGAATTATATTCATGCAATCCAGACTTGATTCATACTATAAGTCATTGATTTTAAGTAATAAAACCAGTGATTTGATGATAAAACTGACTTCAAGATGTAATGCATAGAAAGATTTTTCAAAAAAGGGAAAGAGTATGTACTTCTCAGTAGGCAGTATCTTTCTTTGGTATGCCATAGTCATTTCATTAGCTCAATGCAAAACAGACATTGGAGATGGTACAAGATTTTTATGCCACTAAGCTAAGTATATTTTCCTAGAGTTGATTAGCAAAGATGTTGTCCTGTCTATATCTTGCCTCCAGGGCCCTGTTCCTTCTATTTCAAAAACAGTGTTCACTGCACAATTCGGTGCTCAACCTTTGACTTCCACTCTCATGGTATTCCTCGTGCTGTGCTTACAGTAAAATAGCTGTATAGCTGCCACTGATACGCATTCACAGAATACCAATGCTATATGAACAGAAGGAATGATTTTTACAGTGCATAAGAAAACATATCTAAGGTGCAGAGCACATTTAAGTCATTTAACATTAAAGGCTCTCCACGGCATTGGCAGCAAAATGATGAAATACCAAATCACCTCTTGAAGGTGGTACCTGCTTAGAAAGGTTAGGAGAAGCTAAATGAGTGCTCTTTCGAAAATACAAGATTTTGCCCTGCTTCTAAGTGTTTTAATAGATATTGACGGCAGGAAATGAGTGTCTCTGCTTGGTAAACTTTCACAGTTAGACTCAATGTTATTTAACTATAAGCCCATAAATGAGCAGCACAACTGAGGAGCCATTGTGGACGTGCACAACATCTGGACCATGAATTCTACAAAGCTGAAGTCTTCAAACAAGAGGAGTGGAGTAAAGTCCCACTGCTCATAATATTTCAGTATGAAGGGAGAGAAATAAAAAGGCTAGTTGCAAAGAAGAGAGTGAAGAGTAACATACAGCTGCAGTGGCTGAAGAAGAAAGATGACTTGCATTAACCTGAAGTTGCAACAGTAGCTTTGACAATCAGGTCAGTGAAAAGTATTGGCATGCAACTCTTATGATTGGATTTGGTCTGTGAGTTTGGCTGCACCAAGATCTGGAGGTTAATTTGGTACTAACCAAACATACAGCCAGAATTTAAACTAGAAGTAGGTGAGTAATTCTTTGCATTAGCCTCTAGATGGAGAGAATTTCCTTCAGCTTTGGAAATGGTGTGCCTTATTCACTAAAAAGTTGGTTTTCCAGTAGAGGTAACTCTTGTATGGTCCTGTTGCTTCAACTTGGGTCTGCACTATTTGTTGTTATCCGAAATAAAACTGTTTTCAGGCTCTCTCATATTTTCATTGATATATTATGGCATTCATTTGCCACCAATCCTTTAAACAGCACAATTATCATTTTAATGGAAAAGTAAACCCTTTCTTTGAGAATTTCCCCAATGAGAAGCAAAAAAAAAAAAAAAAAAAAGAGTTACCCTAAAGGTTGCAATAAGGAATTCATAATAGTGCAGTCACCATCTTACAAACCCACTGCTCTCTTGTGCTGCTGTTTGGAATTAATTTTTAGTCTTGGAGATAATCAAAGAAAAAAAATCGAGTGGACATTTAGTTATGAAGACTTAACAATACAACACTCCAAAACCTATTTATTGCTCTGATTCAACTTGATACCATCAATTTATGGATAAAAATTTGCATCATATCGAGACAGTAGATCACACTTATGCCACTAACCAGGGGTTCATTTCACCAGCTTTCTTTTCTGTGATATCATTAAGAATTGGATTCAAACTTACTTTTCTTCAGTGGAGGTGTTTTCCTGTGAGCTGTGTGCCTGAGCTTCCATTAGCTCCAATGAAGAAGTAGTAGAAATTGAGTCAATTAATTACATTGAAAAGTAGAAATTAAACTTGGTCAGACGAATAGTTAGAACAGCTCTTTCCACTGACAAGATCTCTAATAACTATAGTGTGAGCTTAGACACCTACATACCTACATAACCTATAATGTAGGTAGTTGGAGCTGAATCTCACCACAAGAATCTTTCAGGAAAATAATGTACTTATATGGATGTGGATCTGAGACAGCCACAAGAATAAAA